GGGTAGAAAGGACTCATAATTCACCTTTTCTGTTGTATGCTAGATGAAACTCACATTCAGTAGGAAATACTCCATGTATTTTGCACATTTTACAAATAGGGCACCTTCTATAGTTACCAAAGATAACTGCATCGAAGTCCTATAAAATAAAACATAATACAGTGCTCACATTTTCCAATTACATGACAGCAATTGTGAATAATTAAGCAAAATTTCAGGCTTTTTTATGGCTATTTCTAACACTGAGTTTTTGTGCACTACATAAACACCATCTGCAGAAAATACAAGGCACAACTACTGTGTTCACACAGATATACAGAACTACCTCAGCAACTACCAGTGAGCATCCAATTCGACTTATTGGCTGCATCTTCCTCTAAACTCTTTTAGCTCAACCTGACCTTTGTGTATTTGCAGACATGCTTTGCTGCACCCAGCTCAGCCCCCAGCATGCCCACAACCCTGTGCACGCATCCCATGTCCCTGACCTCCCAAACAAGATCCAATTTGCTCTGCCCCCTCTGCTGGGATCTTACACCCCAGGTCTGGACTGAGCAGAGGTTTCCAAAGTCTCACAATGAAAAGCTTTTGAGGTGTTCCAGCAGAAGGCTGCTGGCAGTGAATACTAAAGCAGGGGCTTTTCCCTCTGCAGAGGCCCCTTCTTAAGTATAAAGTACAAACAATGAAAATGAAAAGCAATAAAAAAGAGAGATCTGGGCTTTGAATGCTTCTTAGGGTCAAGCACTAAAACCTCTTTTGACAGCTACACAACCCACACTTGTTCTCCTCAAGAGAATTTGACCTCGAGTAAGGCATTGAACAAAGTGCATATTTTGTCTACACTGGACGAACGCGTTGTTCTAAAGCAACAAACAAACCTCAGATAAAACACACAGATAACACAGAAAAAAATATACAGACCCTCCCAGCAATTAAATCCCACTATAATTTATGCAAATTTAAATAAAGAACAAGGTATCTCTGGTTTCACTGACTTTGTGTTGTATGGCAGAAGGTTAATCAAACTAAAGTGTTACATTTCTCTTTGTTATTGATTAACCAAAGCCAAATAACATTATCATTTTCCTTAATGCATTTAAATCATGACTGTTTCCCCAGATGCTCAGCACAGCCTCACTGCAGATTTAGGGGTAGCTGTTTGCATGCTGGAGCACTGAGCCCGGACAGAAAAACTTTGCTGTGATAGCAACACATACCCAACAGTTTTCATTTTCTCAATTCAAGAGGAAAATTGCAGTCCCTCCCTCTCCTTAGAATTAGCTCTTTTTTGTACAAGACTCATTCCAACATCATTTGAGGAAATTATAAGCCTGCTTCCCATGGCTGCATTGCTGTGCTCGTCTTCAGCTCAGCTGTGACCCAACATCTCAAATCACTGGGTTATTTCTTCTGACCTCTTATTCAGCCCTGCTACAAAGCTGGTTTTAATTTTTAGTAGGCCCAGTGCTCAGTGGAGTTTCTTGTGCAGAGATTTTGGCCTAATGGCATAGAAGTGAATCTTGCCTTGTTGAAATGACTGCGGCCAACAGTGATCGGGCTGAGGAGATGCAGCAGTATGAGGTGAGTGAGGTGGGCTGATCTCGCCTCCCTCAAAATCTCAAAATCATCATCTTGGTTGGATTTTTGACACTTGAAGGTGAGCAGAGAAGAGCCCATGCTGATGGCATGGCGCCAGCATTCCTCCGTGCATCCGACCCTATCAGCAGGCACTGCTGGACAGGCACTGATCCACTCAGTTTTGCTGATCAGCAGCTTTGAAGATGGAAAGACAGTATCAGAACCAATTCAGCCTGGGTTTGAAGCCAAGGACTGCTCCAGCAGACTTCAACAGAACGGAACATGAAAATACTACATTTTTATTACTGTTTTAGTTCAGAGATGTTTAATTTCTCCAATCTGCTAGAAAGGTTTGGCTATTTTCCTGAAGTGAATAAAGATTCTATTTGCATTAGAATAAAACAAAACAAAACAAATCCCAGCTGGTGATGCCTTATAGAAACAGAAGTGTCTGCAAATTTATACTCAGAATTATACATATTCCACCAGGGGCCTATGGTCTGCCTCAATACACTACTTGCAGTAAGTGGCCAAAACACTTTTAGACTTATCTGACGCAATGTAGCAAGGGATAAAGACTTTACAAAAGCATGATACTTATTATTAGCATCATCTATATTCTGTCACTGCCACACCATGGAAAGCAGTAACCAAACCTGACAGCTCTCGCTACCAAGCGAGAATATTAGTCCCAAAATCCATACCTCATTTTTACACTTATATATTATCCATATAAAATTATGTGTACACATCTGGACATCTCTTAATTTAAACACCTATCACATGTTTGGGCTGCCTATTTTTTATTCCTTTCCCCATGACCATGAGGAATAGGAGAGAAGAGAAGGGCTGAGGAAGAGGAGCAGCCCCTCAGGAGGAGCTGCCCATGGCCAGCGAGAGGTGGGAGCAGGGGCAGAAACTAGCGTGGGCAGAAAGCACAGGCTGCTCCAGAGATTGGAAGAGCAGAGGAACAAGAAAGGGCCAACAGGGGAGATTGCTTTGAGAATGTTTGAGAGTACAATGGTGAAACTGAGTCTGGAACACATTCATGAACTGCTTTGACCAATTTACATATATATTCACACATTCATAAAATGGTGCAGCAGAGAATCCCCTGATAAACAGCTGGCAAGGCAGAATTTTCAAAAGTAACCTTTGATTTTCAGACATTGAATATTCAGGAGGAACAAGAAAGAAATTAAGCAACGAAACAACTACTTATCAATTTTTAAACATCCATGCCGTGTGGTCGAGTCTCATGATTCATAGAAAAGCAATTCCAAAATTAAACACCTATAAGCACCAGCAAGAGAGATACAGCACAAGGGATTTTATTATTTCTTTACTCTGTGTTAATGCAATGTATATGTTGGTCATCAGTACACTGTGGGAGCTAGCATTGAAAATGAAGCAGTCTCAAGTAACTATAGCCTTTTAGTTTCACAAATATTGCCAATAGGTTTAATGATGCTCTGTTTGCCTGCATTTAATTGTTTTATAATGCAAACATTTGGTCAAGGTATCCACTTAAGAACTGTGCTTGCTGATCCAGGTGTAGATTTTTAGACTTGTGCACAATAGAAACACCTCTAAAAGACTGAGTATGCAAATTCCCAATCAGATGGTTAATTCTTTACACATCTATACTGATGCAGGGCTTCTGAGCCAGCACAAAGGTTAGATACCTGTATTTGAAAATCAGCCCTGTAACTTGTTCCAAGTAGAATTTAATAAAACAAAATGTGAAAAAAAGTAAGCCAAGCTATTTACTCTTAGGTTCAAATTATTACTACTTGGAATTGTTTGGAAAACAAATGCAATATTTTTGTGATTAGACCCTTGCTCTATGAAAGTACTTGAGAAACTGTACAACTGTGAGCATCAGAGCAGTCGTGTTAATGAAATTACTACCTATATACTAGAATTATCCACTCATTTTAAGTGATTTGCTGGATCAAAGCCTTTCTTTTTCAATTAGAGCAGCAGAGCTAAATTAATGTAACAACTTCACTTTGGAAAAAATAACAGACCAAAGATATCTGTATCACCGCACATATTAGAGAAGGGAAAGAAAATAAAAGGTATCTGTAGGAACTGCCCTTCTTAGTACCACACTACATCAAATACTCTTCTGTTCAACATATACACTTTTTTTTTTTACCTAAAAGATTAAAATGCATTTCATTTCAAACCTCATAACAAAACTCTGCACTACTTCAGTTTGTGTAGGAGTGGAAGATGTTAACGCTGAGAGAACTCGGACAAAAATGAGATTTAAAATGCTACCTCTACTTTTTAGCAGAGGTAAACAGCACATTATAAATCTCCAGCGTAGCCTATTGAAGTGTCAGAACAGCTCATTCAAAGCCACACATTCTCTTCTGAAAGATTTTAGTATTATAATTGAAAATACTCTCCCTCAGATGCACCTGAGAAGCATTAGCTTCTTGGTGACTTTAAGAACCAAATCCTTTAATACAAACCTAGCTTTTCCCACAGGCACTTGAAAATATTTAGCATTTTTTCAGCTGAATGCAATTTTCATAATAAAGTAGCTCACTTGGCTACCTGACACCGCAGACAAAGGCAGAGCGCAAGCAGCTCCTGCCAACATGGGCAGAGGTCGGCCTGAACACCCAATGGCTGTAACAGTTCCAGCGAGTTATTTGTACAAGCACATATGTATTTTATTCCCTAGCATTCAGCTACAGCTCTTGCACACGGGACGCCTTTCAGTCAGCCTTCATGGAGGATAAAACACACCCTAAATTTCTGCAGCATTTCAGCTGCACTTTGATGGCCGATTTTGGGCACTAAGGAAGCCCTTTGCTGCTCCAAAACAAATCGGAATGCCACATTTTAATGTCTGTATTTAGGGCTGGTAAACAGAATTTGCTTAATCTAATATCCCTCCTGCTCTGGAATAGATTCCTGCACACACACACAGTCCTTTCGGAGCTGCACTGACTCATCTCTAATGAGGCTCAACTTCTTAGGGAACTGCTCACTCGCATTTCACAGGCAAACCTCTGAGAAAAGTATGGGAATGAGGTGTTTTGTTTGCTGTTTGCTTTTTCTGTGCCAAAATACCCAGTCCACCCTATCAAATCAGAAACGTTTGTATTTCACTCTATCGCTGGCAGTTTTAAGGGCATGGCTGTAGAACTCCAGGCCGTTTTGTTAAATCAAGCTGCACGACGATCCCGTTTTACCTTCATCCACTTAGCCTACTAATGCAGGCTAATACTGCATGTTCTGTGGCAGCAAAACCTAAAGCGTACCAAGAGACTACAGTGATAGATTACATGTACATGCTGTGTCATATCCAATTAACTCAAATTGACTGTGTACTGCATTATGCTGTTAGTGCATGGAAGATCAATAAATATGGAGAAAATCCAACAAGGCTCTCTCCATTCCCATCCAATTCTAGTAGGTCTGAGACAGATCATGCTCCTATGATGTGTGTGCTGCTGCTGAAGAGGGCAGGTGGTGCATAGACACCATTCAAACTTGGCCTATTCAATCTAAACTCCTCTAACTCTCCATTCATGCATAGCAAAACACCATCTGGTCCTATTTTGCCTCCAGCAATCACAGCTGACCAAAAACGATAATAACAGCTGTTGCAAAACAAAAGCCAAACAAAGGGGGGAGGGAAAGGTTAGAATGAAGTCCAGTGCTGAAAAATACTCCATGAAGTAAGAAATGGAAAAGGAGCCATTCAAAAGTCCAATCCCTATTGAAAAGAGACAGTGCAAGACTACTGGTTAAACTTGAGATATTTAATCCATCTGTCCCGCAAACCACAATGGTCAGGTGATAAAATAAAATTGAGATTATGTTGCATAGAGGTATTTAAAGCCTTTGTTCTTCAAGTTAGAAACCAATGACCCTGTGTCAGCTAAAAATTAAACCTCCTTATGTTCTTTCATCATGTGTCAACCTGGGTTAATGTGAAAGTAGAATGTGGTTAACTGGGGTGATAAAGCATCTGAAACCTTGGGAAAAGAAGGGAGCAGTTAAGTACTTGTAAACGATACGAAGAAAACAGTCTTTAAAACATGTATGACACTGAAATCATGGCTAAGGCATTTTTTCTTGTATAAATTTCATAGTAAGTGATTTAAATTAACAGTTTTATTTGTGACCTACGACAGCGAAGTTATTCACTTAGACGTAGAGAATATGAACTCCAACTTGCACAGTTTGAAACACAAGATGTTCTGCAATATGCTATTGCGGGTAATGGAAAATATAATTTTGTAGCAAGCAGGAGGATGCTCCAGTTTTCCATGATTGAAATTTTGATATTTAAACTCTTCAGTCCTGCTTGATGATTAATTTTTTTAGATGCGGCAATTAAAACTTTTTTTTTTTCCCCTGGAATTGACCATCAGTAGTTCAGCAGCTCTTAATCAAATGTGATAAAACCCAGGATTTATGAAATCATTTAATGAGTACAATAACACCTGCTTCTTACCACAAATAGTTGAAAACAGACTTCAGTTGTAATTAACTCTTATCACTAGTGACATTTTTCCCAACGATACTTCATAGGTCTTCAAAATGACAATTACAGAACTAATACACAATTACTGTCACATGCAGTTTGGCAATTATTTCTGAAGACAGTTGTTTAAAGGTTTCAAAAAGACTATAAAATGGTCCTCTTTGTTATGTAACACTGGTTAAAACTGACACAAAACCATCTTTCACAACCAGCCTCTGCTGTGCCATTTCCAATGCACACAGGCTTCCTTGTGCCTGAAATAAGCCCCCTCCCTCCCAGACACGATTAGATATCACACGAAGGCTATTACGAGCATGGGTAGCTGTCAACTAACACCTATTACAAAAAGCTTCAATTTATACATGATTTTTTCTGCTCCAAGAAATCTATAAATTTCTAATTGGAATCTCTTGCTGTTCAATATTTGTAGATAATAAACAGAGTACCTGAGGACTGTGAAATATTGAAAGCTGAATTCATTATTAATAAACTCGCACAGCACAGTACCTTTTCCCTCAAGTCTGGCTGCAACTTTTGGGGGATCTATATCCCATTATTTTTGTTTTGGGGCCTGGTCGGTAACCATGGACACGGCCTGAGACAGGATTAGGATTCTGCTCGGGTTTGACACTTGCTGTTTTTAATTTTCATTTTATCATAAGCAGTTTAAGATTGTTGCCAGTGGTAATTTGCAATTTTTATCAAGACCTCTTCATTATAGCTCCTGACAGGACAGATGCTGTAATTAATCATGCAAGACAACTGGGGATAGTGGTCAGGCTGCACCCAGCACACAGCAATAGCAGGCAGGGATGGGAAAGAAGAAAGGAAGGGTTTTTCTCCTCCATCAAGAGCAGAGATGTAGAAAGAGCATTAATATCTTGCCAACATGTTGGATGCAAATGTTTCCAAATATTTCCAGTGAAACAGCTTCCTCTACACCCACTGCTCCCTGCTTGCACCATTCAGCACCAGCCAGAGTCTGGGACAAGCCAGGGGCTCATGGGCTCAGGACACCGGTTGGGCTTACAGCAAAAACACAAGGACACGAGGAAAACCCTGAACTGTACTTATTTGCATCCCTGAGTGGCTAAGACAGGCTCCTTACCCCGTTCCCACCGATGGACGTAACATGGGGTGGATGAGCGCTCTGCACCATCATCGCTGCACCACCTGCTCTTGCACCTCGAAGCCACAGCCTGCTCAGAGGAGCTGCATGCCCCCCTCCAGCCATGGACTTACAGACACCAGAGCTGGCTGCACAGACCAGTACCTATTTACACAGCATGGCTGAGACACTCAAATCCAGAAAGTAGAATAAAGTGCCAGAGAAAGCAGTTCTGCAAGGAAACATTTCTCTTGGTTATTTTTCTTATCAAAGACTTGTGGCCCATCGATTTTACTGAAATGTGTTTATTCTATAGCAAGATAAAAGCATTTATTTTAGATAAGCAAAATACAAACAACTTAATTGCTGCTATCGTAACTCATAAAAAAGTATAAAACAGCATAAAAACACAATAAGCAATGTAGCAATTAATAATTCATGTTACCAGTGTTTACATTAAAGCCTCATTTATGAAAACTTTACAACACATGATATGAAAAGTTACAACTTTTAAAGAAAATATTTACATTGATTATTCGGTCGTGGAGTTTCTTTTAAATATTCTACTGGTTTTACAGCGTATTAAAAACTCTTGCATTTTTCATCTTAGCTTTTTGTAATAACAGCCTTAGTTAAGTGCATTTCCCTTTTAAAAATACAGTGTATTAAATCTGAAACTCATCACTTCCACACAGAATATAATATTCACATTTGTTCTGTAATTGGAATTAATGTAATAGGGTAACTGTCAATATATATTTTGTTACAAACTATGGTAAGTTTATCGGGAGGAATGAAGTGAAAGGATGGATCAAACATTGAAGTTCAGTTACTTGCATTTGCTTTTCTGAAGATATTTAGGACAGAAATTTAAGAGCTTTGGCAAAAATCTGTGACATACTCTATTTTTTTTTTTTCATGAGAAAAAATGCCATCAACGAACTCATGTCATAAAAGTATGACTGTATGAAATCCAATCATCATTTTACAGGTAGTTACAACTGTGCTTTAAGGGCTTCATGAGTTCATACTGCCTTGAAGTGCATTATTCACTTTTAGAGAAATCTGTAACTCTGAAAGGCCATGTTGCAGTCATAAGGTTCAGGTATTTATTAGGCCATTTGATTCACATATTGTAGGTAAAGCTTAAATAAATTAAAAAGGCATCACATGAAAGAGAGCACAGCTTTTTTTTTTTTTTTTTAAACAAAATGATTTATAGTCAGCTAAAAGATGATACACAGCTACATTGTAGTTCTTTATTGCCTATCTAATAGACACTTTAGAGGATCATTTGATCTGTTATGCATCCCTGCATAACTACCATCAACAATTTACAGTTTTCAGCCAAATATGGTTTACCCCTACCCCCTCCATCAACACAAAGCGATGCTGTGAGATCATTTATCTTCAGAAAATACTGACCTGTGATAATACTTGAGTCTGTGTCTGAGATTGTATTTGTGACTGGTGCTGCTGAGGTGCTGGCTGAGGGCTCCCAATGGCAGGGATGGGAGAAGTGATCTGAGAGGCTACTGGCGAGTGCTGCTGAGGAGAAGGCTGTGACTGGTGTTGCATATGCTGCATCTGCTGCTGCTGCATCTGCTGAAGCTGTATGTGCTGAAGCTGCTGTTGCATTTGCTGTTGGTTAATTTGCTGCTGAAGATGCTGCTGCTGCTGCTGCAAATGTTGTTGCATGTGGTGCTGAAAATGCTGTTGTTGCATTTGTTGTTGTATCTGCTGATGCATTTGATGCTGATGTAGCTGCTGCTGTTGCATCTGCTGCATCTGTTGCTGCTGCAGCTGCTGTATCTGGTGCTGCTGGCTTTGCATGGAGGGACTTACTTGAGATGAAGACGGTGTTGCCACCATGTTTGTTCCCATAGAACTTATCAATGGAGCTGCAATGTTTGTCGGCATGTTTGATGCAATGGTAACAGAAGCTACAATCTGATTCATTGGCAGTCTCATGGTCAGAGGTTTGGGAGCAATTGCTCTGGGAATGGACTGTTGAAGAGTTTGAGGAGATGCCGATACTGTGGCATGTTGAGAGAGAGAAGTATTCAGAATAAGGGAGGAAGACAAATTTGTGGATGCCAATGTTTGCTGCACAGAACGAATTGTCTGGGCCTCAGCAGACTCTGCAGCAGCCTATGTTTGGAAAAGAAATTGAAGAACAGGTATTGCTAAAAGCAGACATCATCCTATATTGAGCTTAAAAAAATCACCAAACCTGTTCCTTCCCCCTCAAATCTCATGAGCTGCTCAGTGGAAAGTCTGCCCTAGAGAATTTGTCCAATTATTATAATAGTCTATTTAGGAAATGCAGTTCAAAATCTCGCTTGAGTTGCCTGTTTTCTTCATCCAATCTGAACTTTTACTATCTCAGTTCTTATTTATCCTCTCTCAGTACCTAAATCTAGCTGTTTGATATATATTTAGAAATGTTATGAACCTTGGCTCAGTTTGACCTGATCAATTGAAGTTACCTTGTGTTCTTAATAAAAAAAACTTTGTTACTGTTTAAATAGAAAGAAAAGTCACAAATACTCTGAGAGACTTTTTCATCCTCTGTTTTCCATGGGGAAACATCAATCAGCAGTCTGAGAAAGGTCGCTGGTCCATTGCATTACACCTCTGTCTCTCTCTGTACAAGGTACCTCCAAGCTCCTACTTAGATTCCAATTCTTAGACAACAAATTAACTTGTGCCCTGGCTCAACATCAGAAATCTGTAGTACTTCATCTGGCTGAAAGAGCTAAAACAGTCTCTATTTATGTGTTAAGACAAAACAAAACAAAAAACCAACACTGTTCTGAGGAGAAGCATATCCCACTACATCACTTCTGATGGCATAGAGGTATTGTACAAGCACCAAAACTTATCAAACAACTTTTTATATTAGCTCACTGTAGTTCTTCACTTCTAAGGCATTAAGTCCAAAATATTCTCAGCAGAAAGAAGTCTAAGGGAGTATTGTGAAGACAGAAGCCCAGAATCACTGGAAGCAGCATCAGCAGGTGCCCTGCTTAGAACAACCTGCCTAATTCCACTGTCAAGGAGCTTTCTGATGAGAGATACCTGCAGGAAAACTTCATTCTGAGGCTTTCTGGTGCCTTTGAAGACATAGTTTTATTAGGTATGTTTGAATATACTGAGTATGTTTAAATTAGATATGATTAAGCATCAGAAGTAGGATCATCTTGCATAGTTTTACACATCTGCATTGTATAAGACATGTAATATAGTAATATATGTTCTGTATGTATGTATGCATATATGTAATATAGTTGCCTAGAATTCTGTTAAGGTGATGGAGAGAAAAATTCTCATCCCATACAATAAATAGATATTTTTCAGACATTTACCTTAGAATGCATCAAATCTTGCCTCAGAAGTGCTTATTCTGTATCTACTCTCAACAACAACCTTTGACAGAAAGCAACAGCAAAGATATCTTAAGGTTGGTGGAGATGAATTCTGGACATGGAGTGTAATTTCCACTCACAGTCTTCTCAGAAGTCACTCAGCAGCACAAGTCCCACCGATTAGGGCAGAAAACATGATCTCTGTTGTTTTTGAAAAGGGAATTTAGGACTGACAAGACACATTCCCTCAAAGCAACAATTTAGAATTGCTGCTGCCATTGAACATCATGATATTAAAGACTGAGAATATTATCTAAGTCCTAGAGACAACAGAAAAACACAGTTTCATAACACAAGGAAATCTTCTTTCAAGAATTTCAAGAATGCATGTGTCTAATTTCTGTTGTTGTATTTCTAAGCACTAATTAAAATATGCAGCACCTTTCTGTGCTACTTCCTAATGCTCTGTAGTTGTACATTTAAATAAGCATTCTCAGGAACTAGATATCATCAGTTGCTGTTGCTTTCCTGTGATCAAGGGCATTTTTGTATTTGGTCTTTAAGAAATGTTATTAGAGAAATGACTGCCTTGATTTTCACACATGTATTAGAATCCTGTTTCCATTTGTAGTGTCCAGAGGCAGCAGATATACAATCAGCCTCATGCTATCAGTTAAAAAGGTAAATTCTCAAATCTGTGACCAAAGCTTTATTTTTTCACATGTATTTCATACTAAGTAGGGATCTGCTCTGATACTCAACATGACTCACTGCCAGCCAGTCCATTTGAAGTATTCTCCAAATTCAGAGCCACCACACAAATTTTTTCCCCCTCACCTGCAAGAAATACTTAAGCTTTGCCACACAATAACAGCTCTTCAAGCCCGTGCAAAACAAGTCTGTCTTTTGGGAAGAATCACTTGAGGAAAAGGGAAAAAAAAAACAAAAACCCAACAGCAAAAAAACAAAAAACAATTCTGCAAATAGCTTGTAAATGTTAATGTCAAAAGGTCGGCATATTTTTCATGACTGAATTTTACTTCTGTAGTGAAGTGCATTATTTTGCTTCCCGGGATAATGGAAGATGTACGCGCTTACAAAGTTCTTGTTTGGTAATCATTACAGTGCCATTAAAGAGATGAAATTTCTTTGCAGGGGCCACACAGGGTTCAAGCAGCAGCACATCTTTTAGAATTGCATTACAGAAATCTTAGGATTCTACTTTTGTTTTGCATTACACCGCACTCCTACCCCCATTATTAAGGAAAACATTGCCAAAAACTAACTTGCATTATGCAGAAAGCATTATCAGGCTTACCTTGGAAACAAGGCTTGCTCTATAGGCTGCAAGTGCCTTTAGGTATTCTTTTTTGGCAGCTTCTGTTTTTCTTTTATATACCTATTAAAAGAGACCACAATTTCACCAACTTCAATTATTAAGAAGTTTTTGCCAGAATGCTCTCTGAATCCCTTGCAACAAAACCAAAAGCTCAGATCAACAATCTGAAAACACTTTTACTTCATGAGGGCTTTTTCTTCCCTGGAAGTTTTAAATATTCCTGCAGGTGGCCACAGACTTTCAGGTCCACTTGCTGGAATGCCACCACAACATAAGTCCATTTATCACATAGGAAAAAAACTGCTAGAGTAGCCAACTGTTTGACAAGACCAGCTATGCACACTGCATCTTCCTAGAAAATGATATTTTACTGACACTGAGTATTTCACGTGCTGAAAAGTATCTGAAGTAGTACAAAGCAGCCAAAAAAAAAAAAAAAAAAAGGAAAATGTGGTTCACAGAGTTTTGACAATTCACTTTCCCCAAAGTCAGTATTAGAGAATCCCACAGAGCTTCAGTAGAGCAGTTAAACAAAAAGTGAATCAATCTGTATTTCTAATCAGCACTACATATAAAGATCATCCTTCAATCATGATCATCGTCTGTGAGATATCATCATCTGTCAGACTGCTAAGTGTGACTGGGAGCTGCACGGTGCATCAACAGGCAAAGAGCCCCAGAGGATTTTTTTTCCTATCTATGCGTAGGAGTTACATGTGTATAGCAAGAAGAATAACCCTCAAGGAAGAACAAAACTCATCATTCTGTACCAATTTTGAGTTGGAGATAACATTTCACACACAACATTGTAATGAGGCACAGAGGATTGGCTTCAAAGGTTTAAAATCAACACGCTTTGTAACAAATTCATAAGGCAGATCAAAGGAAATGGTAAATGTGTTGTACCTTCCCCTTCTCTATTCTAACTTCCGATTAATAGGAAATAAGAGCTTTGAAATGAGAATCATCAAAAGGTGGTCTTAAGCAAGACTCCAGGACAGTATCACTTGAGCTTTTTACAAAGTGCCCTTTAAAATTTAAAGACAGTTACTGAATACGATCTACTGACTCCTATAACAAAATGCTTTTTAGATGCCAGATTTTCAGCAAGTTCAAAAATCAATGGAGCTCTGCAGAGCAAGAGGTCTACATCAGCAAGCAGTGTGCTCAGCTCCGAGATAGGAGGATTTTTTACAAGCAATAACTATTTTACTTCTTGTGAGATAACCCTCCATCCATTTTTTACCTGTTTTTGTTCTTCTCCTAAACTGTCCCACATAGATGCCACTATTTTTGAAACCTCTCCAAACGTAGCATTTGGGTTCTGCCCTTTAATTGCAGCTTGTGTATCCCTGAAGAAAAGGGCATATGCTGACACCGGCTTTTGTGGCTCGTTGGGATCTTTCTTTTTCTTCTTCTTTGGAGTTTTCGGCTTCTTGCCAGAATCTGGGGCAGCTCTTTTTTCTCCAGTAGCCTAAGAAACAGTAGTAACAGGAACAGTCCACATACACATGAAATGGAAGTCAGAGGAATTCTGAATAATTATTGTCAGTCTGGCTTATTAATAAATGGATAAAAATTCCTATGTAGGCAACATTTTGGATACTCCTGTTATGTGGGTCTTTGTCCCACCAAATAGCACTTATTCTCAGTCATTCTTATCAGAACCACTGGAACTGAATACCAAAATTATTACCACTCACTGTAAGCATGGCTCAGAATCATTCCCAGAAGCCTAACCTCAAAATCTGCACCATAACTAATTTCAATTTAATATATACGTATGCATGTATTCAATCTATAGTGTACTTTGAGCAGGTGATCTGTGTTTCTCCATTAAAATGCAATTTCGGCAGTAGAGACTCAAAAGAGAAGAGCTTGGAGGCATTCCCTGATTCCCAGACTTAGGCTGCCAGCTTAGACATGGGTCAGAGCAGCAGCAGTTCTGCAGTATCTATTCAAGCACAATGGACCACCCTGTGCCCAGCACCCTCTTCCAAGGCTTCTCATGTGGGGTCAGGTGCCCACACAGCAGCATCCTACACCTACATCTCCTACCACCTTAAAGGGGAAACCTTTAGATCAGCACTTCAAGGACTGCCAATATCTCCAATTCTCATATACTCCTCATGCCCCATACCTTCCTCTGGACTACACACAGATTGTGGCAACAAGGGCTGCCACGCTGAGTGGCTCTAACTACATTTCTATTGTCATTGTTTAACTTTGATATTTTAAGAATGCTGAATGGAATCGTCTTTCCATATATACAATTTCCATTAAGCTAATGAGAAAATCTTTCATCAAGCAGTCTGAATTAGCACTGTATGTGTAGTGCTATAACATTTTCCTTTTGTAACAGGTTAATTTAAAGCAAACTGTAAATTAAGTAAGCTTTCAGACAGAAGAAAGTTTATTTTATTTTTGTCTAAATGCATCTGTATTTTAAATGACTCCAGAGAATATCAAAATGAAAAAATTCCCAAAGTTGAGTAAAGAGATTCACCAGATCTATAAAATCTAAAATGAACCATGAATGTATTCAACTGAAAATATATGAACGGATTTGCATATTTTAGCATCTATTATGGAGGTATCATGAAAGCCTCCTAAATCAGAAGCTAAACAGTAAATAAATGACATATCTGACCGTATGTTAAAGCATACATATTTTGTATGATCACTTGGCAGCTGAGACAGTACTGCCACATTAATGAAAACACAGTATATAGCCACGTAAAGCTTATTCACTGCAACGCATGGATTAACTTACTCTATTTGATTCATCTGCATCTTCTTCATTTATCGAGCTGGAGGGGGAAGGAGTGGCTGATTTACTGGCAGGAGGGGAGGGAGAAGTGTGTGGCATGTTGGTGCCTCCCAGATTTAGCCCCAGCTGTGCACTTAGCTGGGACTGGTTAATGGTGGTGAGCTGAGAGGGAGTCATAATTCCCGAGTGAGCAGCATCCGTCATGTGGACAATGGATCTCATAATCAAAGAGTGGTCTTGGCGGTACTGCGAAACTTGGGTGTGACTCTGATCCTAAAAGAGAGTGAAACAGTTATTAGCAGTGATCATACAGCATTAGCAAATCATTTTCACTAACTCACAGAACTGACACTGTCAACTTTCATTTTGTTTGGTTTCTTTTCAACCGATCAATAAACCGAACACAGCAACAGTTACAGTACTGGTCTCAGACTTTGCTTCTCCCCTTTGCTGGATTTTCTCGGGTAATAAAATTTTTTATTTCCTTATTTTAAAGTAATTTTTTTTTCTCTTGATGCTGTGCAAATATCCACATAAACAACCGCCTGTCTGATGATACAGGGAAAACATTGCAGCAGAGTAGAGAGAAACTGCTGTCAAATGCAGAAAGCAAACAAAATGGGGAGGGAGAAGAGAGAGAAAAAGCATCTTCCTCTGACATTCAATTATTCATAGCTGTTACCAGTAACAGTAGTAGGTATAAAACAACTCTCTTTAAAGTAACTTCCAAATCCCCTTCAGACGAAGAACGTTGCCCTGCCACATCTCAAGTGCAGACACAGCAGCACACTGGAGAACCGTTCGAGTAATCCTAATCACTCCTAAAAACCCCTTTTTGCCAGCACCACACAGAAGTACACATTTTTATCTTTAATCCAACAATCAAACACACGTGGAAGTAGCACACCCACTTTATTTTCTTGCACTTCATGCCTCAGAAACTTAAGTGCTTGCATGTTTTTGTCTCTGCTGTTTCTTGAGGGCTAAAACTAAGTCATCTTCTCCATCTACACAACACTTATCACAGTTGTAAACAAAATGAAGTCAGACCCCAAAGGTAGAAGTCAACTGGAATCTGACTACGAATGACTTGGTTTTGTTATTTTTAACCAAACAAAGATCAATAGACACTTAAAGAACATTTAAACAGAAAAGAAGATTTTTAAACCAGTCAGAAAGTGGGGAGAATAATTAGCTCACAAATTGATTGAGCAACTTGGCCAATCTATACCCGTTGTTCAAACAGTCAGAAGCATAGGAAATGCAATAGATTTTGAAAACTTTTGTTATTAATAACCCACATTGCAATCAGCATCAGGTACAATGATCCTTGATGAAATACCGTAGAAGAGAATTGCAATGCTAGAAGTCCAGCACAGGGGCCCTACTGAGCTCCATGAAGCACTGTGACTTTTCCAGGGCACTCAGATTTTATCTGAAGTGCTCAAAAACCTGCATCAGCATTGAGGATTGTCCTGAGTGACTTTCTTCTTGCTCATGCCCAGCAGAGGCAGTGGGCTCAGTTCTCCTGAACACCTCCTAGCCCTGCCCCATGCAGCACAGAGATGCAGTGCACTTGTAAAGGAAGATGCATGCCCTGCCTCATCCACATATTGTCGCCCCTGGGTCCTGTACAGATGAAGTTAACTGTGCATGTTCATGCTCATGGTGCTATACTGGGCCTCATCCTCATTTTCCCCTGCCTACCAAGAAGATGCCAGCATAGTTCATCATCCATACTGCAACACATTACTATTCCTACTTCAGAAGCTTTTAATATTTTCAGCAAAGGAGCATAGTTCCTCAGAGATGAATGCCTGTGCCAACAGTGGAGCACTGATATAGAAAGATCAAAACATCAGAGTTACTGGCTGAAATACCCACTTGCTTCAGGGCACCTTTCTGTGAAAATTTACTACCGTTAACTAGAGGGTCATTTTGATTCAAAATTGTATTGACAGCGGCATCTGGAAGTCATTCAAAGTCTTTTTAAAAGGATATCACTTTCTGCATATTAGCCCGTTCCTTTCTAGTTTACAGACGTTGCTTTATTGCATTAAGAAAAAAGTGTTGTTAAAGCAAAGGTCGAGATCATCACAATTACTTTCATAAAATCAACTTCAACATTTTGCGTGCAGCTCTTTCATAGTGGTGCTCTATGCCTAAAAGGCCTTTGCTCTCTATTGTTATACAAAACAGGACTTTTTGGCCTTCACACCAAGGCAACAAAATATGACGACACGGGTTACAAGTGGTTTACTCCAAGTCTTGTCATTTTGGTTGCATCTATGATTTTACTGAGACTAAATTCTCTTGACTTGTACTGACCCAGAATCTAATTTTATACACAAGCCCATGAATTCTTAAATGCCCCTTCTGAGACAATTTGATGCTTCTGTGTTTGTTTTGTTTAATTCCCATTTTTCTTTTTCTATCTCTTTTCCTAATTTGTAAGCTACTTCTTAAATATTTAAAAACTTCACCAGAAGTTAGAAATAGAAACAATATTTTGTAAATGACTACCTAGCACAGGTAAAACTTATTATATATATATAAATAAAAAATAATAATATCATTTCCGATCTCTTCTCATTTACATCTATGTGCACACTATAAATATTAGCAATCTTTTTTCTGCATTTTGAATTAAAGTTCTTTGGTTAATCACGTCTCAAAAAAAAAAAAAAAAAATCACAATGAAAAGAATAGGAATTTTGTTTTTATTTTGTGGCTGTGGTGGGCCTCTATAGCCCCCTGGAACATACAGAAGAGCTTTCAGACAAGGAAGCACAAGTCTTCTTGTACAGAGGTTTGGTGCCTAGCAAGAAGCCAGGGGAGATAGTCAATAGTAACACTGAGGTTCATAGCATCTGTATAGAAACTCTGAGTAAGCAAAATCTATCTGAAGAGGAATATATAATCAAGTCCACAAGTTTTCCATCAATTTTCTCAACCCTTGTTTTTTTCTTCTGTTACAATGACCAGTATTGAACCAAAAAGATCAGCATTTCATTATTCATGAAATGTTTAGCAAATAAATGTTTAACACCAAAAACATACCAAGGGTACAAATGGAAGTACAATTGTACTAAAGCATCTGCAAGACATCCTAATTACATTACCATGTGAAAATTGAAAACTGAAAAGGCAAAGCTTGTGCATTCAAAATAATCCACCAAGAATGTTGTGAACATTTTAGAGAATATTGCGTGCTCTTTTCTTACATAAGCTTAACTAGAAGTAGAAGGGATATGCAAGTATTATATGCATTTAGGATTTTCATAGTATAATGCAGAAATGACAGATCAGTGCTTAAAAAAATTCATGAGCTTCTTGAGAGAACAGAATCAAGTGTTGAGTGAGCTTAATCTGCTTTATTGTTTTAAACTGAAGTTAGGCAAAGCCTGGTGGTTTTCACATAAAGCCAGACAATACTCAACCTCTTGTTTACTCAGCTTAACAAGCAAACAAGGACATAATGGGTGAAAAGGAACACAAAGGAGAAATTACATTTATGATTCCAATGACAATTTCAAATTTCTGCTGTAATCCTACATGAGTGAGACTATGCATAGGTATATCAATCTTTTCTATCACAGCTGCATACATCCAATTGTAGCCGTTGTGAAGACTTGCAGCATTTGATGTGCAAAAAATATCATCAAAGGCATGAGGATATCCATCTACCCTACTCTCATTTATTTGGTCATTCCAAAAGAAGTCCTATTTAGTCATTTTTAGAAGTCATACCAAAGAACATGTCACATGGCACATGCCAAGTACATAGCCTATTTTATTTTGATTCTTAGAAGTATTAAGTTTTCAAAGTTTGATAGAAATCTGTAGCTCAGCAGCCAATGGAAAGCAAACAGAATAATGGGATTAAAAAAAAAAAAGTATAAACTCCAACACTTTAATTTATACTGTGTATACTAGTAAAGGTGTTTTGCAACAATCCAGCCAAAGAGATGCATACCATTGACTACTAGGGTAAATAAAAGATTATTCTTCTGATATGAAGTCATTAGGCACTCAGTAAGTAATATAGTTAGTGCTTATTTTGATAAACAAACAGTAGCCAGCCATGATATCTAGAGATATCCTAACTTCCACCTGGCAATTTGAGCATCATTTGCAGACAATAGTAGAATATTTTGAGTAATACTGATGATTAAAATCAAAGCCTACAATATTCAATCATGTAAACAAGCAACACCAAGATTCTTCCTAGCTGCATCAAGATTGAGTCTAGGGAAGTGCCTATAAGGAGACATAAGCCCAGGATCTGACCCTATACTACTGCTTGAACCATTTTTTTAAGGGACATGGCTAAGACTGTGGTAAATCTGCCAACAAAAAGAACTATGCAAAAGCTAACATTTATGTTTATGCTCACCGTGCCCTGGTTTTGGAAGTTGACTTAAAACATTATGTATTCTTTTGCCTCAGGAATTTGTCACTGTCAGTGTAACATAAGCTGATGTAATATTTTAAAGGATAAATTCAAGTTGAAGCAAATGCACTGCAATATGAAGAGTGGAATCCTCAGTTGTCCCTGTCTCTAAATTACTCCTGTTACTTATGGGCAAGTAAGCATATCTCTATAAGAAATCCTCAATACTCTTTTCCTCCACAAGTAAAATAGAGATAAAAGAATCCATTAATCTAAATCTTTAGAAGTTTGGAATTCACTGCCAATCAAAACAAATCAAACTAACAGGATGCTTTTCTCTGTCAGAGATTAAATCCTTACTTAATAGAATATAAAATAGTTGCACTCGGTACTGCCACCGCTGAAGAAGCATCCTACCTCTCCTCTCTTCAGCTGCTGCAATCGGTAATGATCTGTCAAACCACAGTTATCAGGAGATCCTCTACAAGCAGCAGCTTCTTTTCTCTAGCACTGACAAAACCCCCATGTTTTCCTCCATGCCTTTGTAGTAAAGTAAACCTTACCTAATTTAATTCCCAAATAAATGCTACAACAACAATCAGTACGTGTCAGTTCAGAAAAAAATGTCTGCAGATGGATCTAAAAGATTGGTTGGTGACAGAAGGCTTATGCACATTCTGCTGCCTGAAAGACATGAAGAGTAAGCAATCTCCCAGCCTATGTGCTTCCCTAGTCCCAGTACATCAGAAATTTCTGTTTTCCATTTACACAGAAAAAACACAAAGCCAAGAGAAGGGATACGTGGAATGAAAAAGGAATAACACAAAGGTCCACTGATTTATTCCTCAAAACTGAGCAACTATCTCCTTTTCTTTTGACA